TTTTTTTTTTTTTTTTTTGAAGGGGAACCTAATACGTAAGAAACTTTTTTCCAAAATCTTTCTAAAGAAACTTTTTTCCCAAAATTTTTCGATAACGAAGACTTTTTTCATAATGAATAATAATTTATAAAGTATTTATAAAGTATTATTCTTCATTAATGTCAATACTTTATAAAGTATTTACAAATACTTTATAAATTAATTAACGTATTTATAAACCTTATTCAAGACAGCCAATTTTAACACAGTCCTCTGTCTTTTCCAACTACTTTAAATACGTGATCAGCCTGCTGGCGATCTTGACGTTCGTTTTGTTGTTTCAATTCCTCGTCACTTCACTCTAAAGATAAATAAAAATATAAGCAGAATAGGTAAAAAATTAACGGCTTAACGACGCAAATATACTTGGCAATTGAAACGTTTAACATTTCACCATTGATTCATTTTCGGAACATTCTTCAGTAGTGTAGGCGATAGCGATTCCATCGACTTTGGTCCTAGATTGCCCGCATTCATCAAGTACCAGATATTTAAATTTGCGGATCATACCAGCGAGTCAGTGGTATTACAATTATTATCTTGACGTGTCCTTGGGTACTATTCTTCACTCGTTTCGTCCAGCTGTTGTCTGTCATTCTTATCATCAAAAAATGAATAAAAACACTGAAATTAATGGCATTTAAAAAAAAATTCCTTCTTTAAAAATTTTACATACCTCTTATAAATTTTCTTCACGCTTTCTGAAAATCTGCGACATCACCTTACCAATCTGATTAATCACTGACTGGGTCACCAGCATCTGCTGGTCATCAGTACATGGCGTAGTTATTTCCTGTTCGAAAAAAGTAACAAGCAGAGAGAAAGGAGTCTGATTTTTGAATTTTTCGGACTTTTAAAATTTGGCTGCACTGTACATTTCAGCCAAAAATTCTAACAGTTCGTTGGGATGCTCCATTTGGCTGGTTGGTCTCGGATCTCGTCGAGGATGGTTATGCTCGGAAGCATGAAAATTGCTCACTACATACCTCAAATCATTCGCAGTATTTCCAAATTATCGATAATAGGTAACTGCTTTAAAATACTATTCACAATTTGTGCGAAATTTTTGGAAGAAATTAAATTTATATGGTAAATTCCAGCTGAGCAAGATTTACAAGATTTTAACTGTGTAGGTGTCAGCTTTTCTAGCTGTTTTGACTAGCGCTGGTAGTCATTGTCTGGTGGTTGTCTACTAATATTCCCGACCTCCGCTTCATAGGTTCAGCGGTTCCCCTAACAGACGCACTTTGTCAAAGCTTTAACAGTTTCAGTGTGTCACTTGCTGGCAACCGATGGACATCACGTGCTAGTGAGTAGTTTTCGCTGAAAAGAAAACCTTTAATTAGATACCTCTACTGGGGTAACCGCTTTTCAGCAATGGGCATTTCACAGACAGGCTGTAAACAAACAGTCTAGGACAAGGAAGGACACCTTTTCTCAGTGCTTTAGTAACACCGTGTCTCCGATATCAATGGGCTGGGTGACCTTGACGGTCATTTATTCCTCATTTTGAACAATTGCTACGGATCTGATTTTGGTGAAGTGGCCAGTAACAACGGATGTGGCGAAATGACCACTGACAAAGACCAGGCCAGGCCCGAGATCGGAGGTCCAGTTCTGCTAGCAACTTCACCTTTCTACTGATAGCCGTCTATTCACTAGTAAATTGGTATCAACACATGCTAGAGAGTCAATTCCATCATTAATTTTTACTTATGCAAACCCAAGCGAGGAAATTATAAACAGTGTTGCTAACAAGTGGTTGCTGTTGGCAAGTGTTACCATTAAAGTTATTTCCGAGTGCCCTAATTTCTTAGAGACATTTTCAACCACTGTTCCTCAGTGAGTAAATTTTTTTTGGGAGGAAGGGAGGGGAAGAGGTTAAACCAAGAATCTATTCAGTCAAAAAAGACGTTTGTATCTCCGGCCTTTTTTAGATTACTTGTCCAAAGTCCCATCAAACATCTTCAAGGTCGAACGATAGCTATCGTGGTGCAAACTATTGCACCAGAACGAGTATTTGCTATCAATGTTCATATTTCTGGAAGGTATACCTTATCAGTATCTTTTTGTGATAATTTACGAGTAACCGCTCGAAACTCAAAATTTCTAAACCACTTTTCTGGACGTCAAGGCTTCTAGGGGATCTTCTGGTTGCAAAAATTCAGTTACCAAAGAAATTCTTGCGTTGATCAGGAAAATACCGGCTTTTATCTTATTATTTCATTCCAGCTCTTCCAGAATTATTAGACTGAGATGGGGGATGTCTTTCCCTAACCTTTGTACAAATGGAAAAGTCCACAGAATGTTGGAAATTTTTAGCACAAAAAACGTGATTATCTGGATAAAATAATAAGATAAAAGACGCAAAGTCAGGGAAGATCAAAAAAGTCGACTTGAAAAACCGAAGAATTCGACTGAATTTTGTTAGAAATTGCGATTTGGAAAACAAACGTTTTATAGAAATTTCAATAATACATCTATAGAAAAAGAGATCGCATACCTCATCCGTTCTTTGACTACGGTACTGCCTGTACGATATTTTCTGAATTAGTTGAACTGACTGAATTTTAACAAATTTTTTAGTTTGGCTACTCGTTTTTCATCGGATGTATATGGCATAAAGATCCGCGAAGATACTGCTCCGGAAACATTGGTCCCGAGCAGTCCGGAAATAACACTTATCAATTCAAGCTCATCCAATTTGCACATATCGATAATCTCAAATTCGACAAACTTACCTTTTGTCATTGTTGCTAAGAGAAGACAGAATCTCACATATGCAAGGGTAACTTGTTTTATAAATTTTCTATCAAAAATGCGTTTATTTTTTAGCTGTTTTCAATAGCGCTTCGAGAATGATAGCGGTAATATTATCACAACTAGAACTTATCACTTATTTGAGAATAATCTCAATTAATCAGATAGCAAACTTTTTTTTGTGACAGAGAGCGATGGTGTGAAGAATGCTTGGCAGGGCTTTTCCTGACAACAAATCAGGCTTTCCGTTAGTTGAGCAGCATGAGGGAGGTTATCGTTATTATGCAAGAAAGTAAAATCCGATAAGCAGGGTATTTTGCTCGCTTTGCGGAAAACTACTGGAGTGGTGCATTAGTGAGAGGTACCCGAGAGAAAGAAGATGACCACACGAGTGACCATCGAGTGGTGGTGCACATTCATCGGACAGGCGGTTTTATTAATTGTGTATTTGCAAATGAGAGCCAAAGATTCCAATACAGCTTACTGCGTCCAGCATTTGGGGCATCGCAGTAAAATCATCGAATCCCTACGCCAATTGTTCTGCCAGCCTTGATCTAGATAACAGAATAATAAAAAAACGACGGTAATGATAGATGGACGTGTGTCTCGGTGATGGAAATAGTTCGTCTATAATGGCTATAAAATCATAATAATGCTGAGTAATAAAAAATAATGGTAGCATTTCGCTTGAGAATGGCAAACTTACCATCAACAATGACTGTCGTGGTAATGACGATGTCAGTGGTAACGGCAGTAATATTATTAATAATTCAACTGCGATTCTGGTAATGATGATAATGATAACAAAAAAAATAACAGATTTTTTTGACAATGGTAAGCTGAGAATGATATTATTAACAACAAAAAAGCAGTCCTTTGGTAATATTGACGATGATAATAACAGTGACGATAATAATAATAATAATAATAATAATAATAATAATAATAATAATAATAATAATAATAATAA